AAAATGAGTTTCAATCTTTGACTAAAAATTTGGAATATAATTTGTACGATTGGAAATTGACTTGTGATAATATTTCATTCATTTTTTACTTCTAATTGCATCGAAGTTACTCCTAGCAATCTTCAATTATCGTTTTGTTGTCCGAATCAACTATTGGATATTTACAATTTGGTCTCCATACTTTTGATTTCACATTTTTCCTTGATTTTTCCTTATTTCTTCCCATTTGTCGTTCAACCATTGCATTTTACCTATATAACATAAAATACAATAATTTAGAATATATTTTGTATTGATTGAAAATCACTTCCAAATTGCTTTTCAAAAGAGTTCCAATCGAATAAGGAAATTTGTCTTCGTATGCGCATGTTTTTCTCTTTGCACAATAGTCGATATTCTGGTCATAAATTTCTCTCTCGATATCCAATTAAGGTGATTCAAAGTGTATTGGAAAGCTAATTCAAAGAGTTACAACTTTGTTAAAGATTTTTCAAATTTGGCTATTTACTATGTAAAAAATGAGTTTCAATCTTTGACTAAAAATTTGGAATATAATTTGTACAATTGGAAATTGACTTGTGATAATATTTCATTCCTTTTTGACTTCTAATTGCATCGAATTTACTCCTAGCAATCTTCAATTATCGTTTTATGGTCCGAATCAACTATTGGATATTTACAATTTGGTCTCCATACTTTTGATTTCGCATTTTTCCTTGATTTTTCCTTATTTCTTCCCATTTGTCGTTCAACCATTGTAGTTTACCTATATAACATAAAATGCAATAATTTAGAATATATTTTTGTCAAAAAAATACCAAATATCGATATTTTAGGCCATGACTAAGTAATACACTCATTAAACACCACCAAACTTAATCATTTGTCCTCAAACAAAACTATAACCTAAATAACGGCAAACACACAAGTATGGGAAAATATTTGGTTTGACAATCTAGTTTTTATATCAGGATTTAAAATCTCAGTATTAAATCTACAAATAGCTTCAAAGTCACAATATCAACCAGTATCCACTATTTCAATGCAAAATTGACGTGTGTGTATGAAGAACTAAATAGACAATTATGAATTTACACGTTGCTTCAATTCCCAACCTTCTGTGGTCAAATACATCCTTTCACATCTCGTATAATTTACACACTATTAAACTTATTCTTTTTACTATTTTCCTAGTGTGCAATCTAATGTTGAACTTTTCATTATTATCCTCCTCTTCTCTAGTTCAGATGAACTCCACTAATTGCAAGTTAACACATCATGAACAAGAACTCTCCAAATATTTTGATTGTTTCGACCTCTAAGACTCGACTAGACTAATAATCCATCATCAAAAGTCAATAGCAATTGGTGCGTCTTCTATTTCATGTGTATGCTTTTTCAAATTTTCTATTTTTTTGCACTCTCTCTCCTTTAAACTTTTTATATGACCTATTTAACGAGTTTTTGGCCGATAACTCCCAAATGAGATGATTTTGGGCATCAGGTTGTAAATACCCTAGCAAGTTTAATAACTCGAATTATAAAAGTTACGAAGAGATGTCTTTTGTATATTTTTCTACCATAATTAGTGCAATGCCCCTCATTAAATGTCTATCTAATCAAATCGACATCTAACTTAAGACTTTCACACAATTTTATCCTATTAATCTAAGACAATCCACGCATAATTTTTCACATATGGAATCCTAATTCATATCCGTATCTTCCTATAATTGTAAAATTACCCCTAAACTATGCTAAATTTGGTCTTAAAGATAAAGAATTTAGTATGATTTGGGTATAGCATTTATGTTCGACTAAATCAACCTATTAAGCACATGAATCAACTCATTTCATCACAATGTCAAACTCAATTCTAGTGCTCATATAATATCAAGTTTTGCAGGGTTAAACATCAATCAATCTAGTATACAACCTATCCACCATTCATAAATTAACACGAAGTCTCAAATATAGAGTTTGTTTGGGAGAGATTTTTGGGGGAATAATTGATTTTGAATAGTGATATGATGGGAAATGTGTGGTTGAAAAAGAAGAAAAAATTGTTGATGTGATAGAAAATATTATTTTATTGGAGAATGTGTGGTTGAAAATGAGAATTGATTTATTGTAGAAAAATCTAAATCCTTCCCAAATAGGGCCATAATCATTATTGTCAACCTTGCTATCCTACACAAGCATACAACCTAAAACTAGAAAATATTTTTTGAAGCAATGACAAAAAGATAATAATAATAAAAAAAAAAATACACAAGCACTCAAACATATATGAAAAATAAAAAACTCAAAAAGTTTTTTCACACCCCAAATTTAAAATCGATATTGTTCTCAATGTCCTAGAGCATGAATAAAGATATAAGGGGACGGGGAAGAAGAAAAGGAATAAGTACTCCCGAATTTTTCTCTTGAATGTGTATGAAGCTATTTGGCAATCTATCTTGAAGTGTGATAAGCTCCTTCCAATATTTATATTCATGGTACCTATCAAGAGGGGGAAAAAACAATTAAAAGAGTCAAAATCAAGTGAAACACCTGACAATCGAAAAATTTCTACCCTGGCTTAAGCTATGCGGCTACATATAAGAATCGAATTGCTGGTTTTGGTTTCCTGGAGGTACATATGCAACCGCATATAGTTTTTAACCATGCGGCCGCATAGAGTACCCCAAACCAATATTTCCCCATTTTTATGCTTAAATTTCAATATCATGTTACATATATATTTCAACTCCTTTTGGCTCAATTAATATTTTTCTTTAACTAGACTAAATGTTAATGATGAAGATGACCACCAAATTGAATTAAAACGTGCCTATAACTAATGCAACCTGTAAATCAAGAATAACAATACATGCAATGCAATACGGAAAACAACACAAATAAAAGTGTTAGAAAATTGTGTTGCCTTCCAAGAGGAACTGGTCATGGTGTTTCATGCTGCAGTTTCCAGCTTTACATCCTTGTTTTGCTCTCCAAATCTTGAGCTCTCCATTTCCCTCTTGAGCAACGTTTAGGCTTTGTCTCCTTCAATCGTTGTTGAACTTCTTCAGCAATATATTTGACCTCCTCCAGGTCTAATGGTTGCTTTGGTGGATTATGTAGTTTAAATACTCATGTGCGTCCTCTACCTTACAGTCAGCTCACCATTCTCCATATCAATCAAGGTTCGACTTGTCGGTAAAAAAGGTTGATATAAGATTATTAGCATATTTTTGTTGTCTTCGAGGTCCATAATAATGAAATCCGTCGGGAATATCAGCTTACAAACCTTGATGAGTACATCCTCAATCTTGCTCCATGAGTATCTGATGTTCCTATTTGCTAGTTACAGCATCACATTCGATCATTTGACTTTTCTAACTTCTAATTTCATGAAAATAGACAAAGGTATTAAATTTACATTTGTACATGTATCACGTAAAACATTAAAATGAAATTCTCTGCATAGTGAAATAGGTAAAATAAAATTCCCTAGGTCCTTTAGTTTTGGTGGCAATTTATATTGCAACATTGTATTGCTCTCCTCGGTCAATGTCACTTCTTCCCAGTCAGGAAGCTTTATTTTCTTAGATATCATGTCCTTTATGAACTTTGCATACATCGGGATTTGTCTGATTGCATCGATGAATGAGATGTTGATATGGAGCTTTTTCAACATATCCAAGAACTTTTCGAATTGATCATTGAGCAAAAGAACATATTTTTAGAAGAAATAAATGGTTAGTTTCATGGGCACGACACTTGCAAAAGAGATGTTATGATAGATAATATGTAAGTTATGGGAAAAACTAATATATAATGTAAGAAAACAAAAAGAATATAATTTTATGCACTTCTTGTTTTTGTATCATAAATCACGTTTGAACAATCCGTAAATCGCCGACCTTGGCTTTACTTGTCAAAAAAGACAGCCCACACCATACTTTGTCACCTAATTGCAAATGTTAGGCGCGTTGGATCTTTTAACCGCAACCACTCCTTTATTTTCATCAATTTCTTGATTGGGCCCAACCTTCAAATTGTCTGGTGCAACGCGTAAAGCTAATTACACCTTTCTTAAATTGAATGCCCTTTTGCATCTATGTTAAAAATCTCTCTCCTTAAAATGACGACAGAAGGCGAAACGAAAGAGAAGAATAAAAAAGCCTTGTATGGGAGGGATTAAAATCGAAAATATAGCCGTTATTATTGACTTTTATTAGACGAGTGGGACCCAATAACGGCCATATTTTCAATTTTAATTTGATTTTAATCCCTCTCGAACGGGGCCTTAATAAACGTCCAATCTATTAACGAAGTTGAATTCGGAGGATTTTAAGGAAAAGATAATCAAATAAATTATAGGGAAAAAAAAACAGAAAAAAAGGTTAGGAAATTTTGATTTCCACTGAAAAATAAAATTTCATAATTCTTACAGTATTTTCATCTGTAATTCTTAGTGCTTTCCATCCTCCTCCTGACTTGACGGGCCCTCCATTTGGTTCAATAATTGAATTTTGTTCTTCATTTCCTTCCATGAAGGTTCTTGGAAAACGTGAGTCAGTGTAGTGCTTTCCAACCTCCTTCCTTCCTTAAAAGGTTGACTTGAAGCTTTTTAAGGGTAGACAGTCATGTCCCCAAGCTCCTTTCGGCGAAATGTTCTTGATTAACGTTAATTTATATGACTACACAATTCACATGCTACTCCCTACGA